ACGCACACCGGACTCTAGATCTTTCGTAAAAATGTTCTCTTGAATTCACCCAAGCTTTCTAAAAAAGTCCGCGTCGTTGTGATTCCAATTCAGAATCAGATTGCAAAAATTTGGATGGAGCTAAAAGTTGTAAGTGTTGCGTGGACCCCAAATTTAGACATGCCGTCGTAGAGGCATTAAAATCAAAGAAAAGGGGGTGTGTTTTGATTTACGTATCTAAAATCTTTTCAAGATTTTCTCGATGATGATCTGGTCATTGGCGGATTTGCTAGGCCTGATGGTACGCTGGTAAGGTCCAATCAGATGATTCACAAAAAGCCTCTGTTTTTCTCGCACTGTGTTGACCATAGGATCTCATATTAAATACGTATATATAAGATGACTTATCTTGCTGTAAGGAAGGCATATATTCATTAGGTCATATCACACTTAACTGCCAGTGCATGCACCACCGACTTTATACAGTTCAGCCGATATGCCGTTGGTTCCAAGGGCTTTGGCTTAAAAACACCACATTTTTAATGTTCCCACCTCGTCATGGTTCGTTCTATCACTCAGCTAACTATCTTTCGCATAGCTAAAGATTTCAGGCAGCTGTGTATGTAGAGGAGCGACTCGGTACTCTTCGTACTACCAGCAGTTTCTGCGTGGGAGGTAATAGCCGGTCACGACTTTGTCAGCGGTATGGAGAGCTTGGAAGATGGTATCTTACTATTCATTTATATCCAGGCTTTCAACCGGTTGTGAAAGTTCTCGGCTGTCCATTGCAAAAGCAGTTCGCTGAAGTATGGACTTCTATTATGATCTTAGTGGGCCGAAAAGTTTACGTATTGACAACTTTTAATTTCCCACAAATTTTTAATCTGGTTGGTATTACCTAGTTGATTCTTCGGAAAGTCGGAACAGAGGAGAGAGTCCCTAACCCTTCTTCTTCTTATTTGGCACTGTAACCGCCTAAGCGATTTTGGCCGAGTTCAACGAAGCACTCCAGTCGTTCCTTTTCTGTGCCAACTGACGCCTATTGGAAATGCCAAGTGAAGCCAAGTTCTTTTCTACCTGGTGTTTCCATCGCAGAGTTCCTAACCCAGTATGTCCAAAATACCTTCGGTTGCCTTAATGAATCATAAAAGAGCCCCGATAGGCAAATTCCTCATGACGAAGCGTTAAATTATTGTTGGAGATTTAAAATAGATTAATCCTGGCCTGGCCAAGGCCGGAAAGTCAGAGATAATATGTTCTAAAAAGTTATCGTCTTGTATGGTGTCAGTTGTGACCATTTAGGTACAAATTGTTGTCATTTCGTTTTAATACAATAATATCGTATCTGTTGAAAGGGTAACCGAAAAGCTTGGCCTGTCTATGATCTCTCATCGCTCTCCAGTACTTATCAACTGAGACCGCAGAATGGTTCTGGTAGTATAAAGACCGTTAACCAGCAAACTCATTGCCTAAGCAGATTGGATTTCATCTTCCGGTTTGAAAGCGATAACTAGAAAAGCGCGCTTTAAACACTTTTCGAGTTTTATACGTTTGGTATCAGCTCCATAAAGACTTGAACCTGCCCTGTCCTCTATCCTTGAATCATCTGTGTACCAATGTACTTATCTAAGATCAAAAGTAGGATGCTCATTTGCCCAATCATCGCGATCTGAACTTTAACTAGGAACTTTCAGCCAAAGCAAAAGTCGGTGCCATAATTTTAAGCCGTTCAAGTCAGCTGCTCTTACATCTACGTACCTGCGCACTATGTTTTATTTACTTTAGAAATGTTATGCGCCAATTTGAAGGAGTATTTTTTTTTTTTAATTTTACCTCGATTTATAATTGAGTTAAATTATCTCCACTCTCTTTTCACTACAGGAGCCGTGGAGAATTGCCAATTGAGAATTCCGATCGCTTTCGAATAACACAGACCAGCACCGCTGTGCAACTAGCCGTAGAACACGTGCAGCGGGAGGACGCTGGTCATTATACGTTGATAGCTAGAACGAAAGGTAACAATGTTATTCGCAAGGATGTCGAACTCATTGTCGACGACAGATCGACGGGTGAGGACCCGCCTATATTTCTACGACGATTGGTCGATCTATCGGTGAAGGTGGGAACGCGTACTCGATTGTTAGTCGAAATACGAAGTTCCACGGAATTAAAGGTATGAACCAGCAGTATTTTACTTTGCCGAATAGATATGTATGTATGCATTTGTCACAGCTCACTTGGTACCGAAATGATCGCCGAATATGTGAAACCGATCGAATTAAAGAGATAAATGAAGGCACATTTCACTATTTGGAAGTGAGCCCAGTTATATTGGAAGACGGTGGCCAATGGATGGTGCTCGCGGAGAATACAGGTGGACGTAATTCATGCATTGCACATTTGAACGTTTTAGTGCCCAAGGCTTACAAGACACCAGAGTTCATTGAAGAATTACGTGCCGTACTTACGCAACAAGGCACCGTTTCACTAGAATGTAAAGTTGTTGGTGTACCCACACCACAGCTACGTTGGTTCAAGGATTCCAAAGAGATCAAGGCTGGTGATGTATTCGCACTGACCGCCAATGTGGACGACCCCACCTCGTTGGGTACATACACCTGTGAGGCCGTCAACTGTATGGGCAAATCATATTCCAGTTCCAAGGTGCATGTAATGGGGCGTGGTAGTAGAGAGGGTTCATTGAAACCAGCTGATAGGTAAGTTAAGAGAATTCTTTGTAAGAGTAAGTTGCATTCTCTCTAAAATGCCGGCATAATAACTTTTCTCTTCTTCGCTCGGGCGCTCATCGTCTCTTATGCTCTAACATGATTTGGTAAATGGACTTCTTGCCTCAAAGCATCCCCAACAATGCACCCCCACCGATCTTTACGAACGAGCTGCGCGACCTGAGTGTCCGCATTGGCGAACCAATTATACTCGGCTGCCAAGGTAAGTGTGTTTTTGGTGGTAGTGGTCGTGGTCGCGATGTTGCTCAGCGCTTCCACTTTTTGGCACATTGCCAGTCACAACAATCAGACATGTGGCGAGCACAATAATGAGGTGAGCAGAAAGGCAAAAAAAAAATCAAATAAAATCGTCGAATTTGCGTCACTATTTGACTCTGAGATAGAAGCGGTCAAGCGCGAGCATATCTTCGGTGGCTGCTGCCGTTCCCAACAACAGATGTCTGTTGTCACAATGACATTTTACCCAATTGGCGTTTCCACCGAAGTAGATCGCAAGACCTATGTACATGTATACATTTAAATATATAGGTCCGCATATATATTTTTTTGCTGCGCTTGATTGGCTTTTTTCACGGAAACATTGAAATTTTCAAACTTGAACTCGACGAAATCGTTGTGGTAGGTCGGCTATGTTTTCGTGTCGATCGGATTGAGAATTGCGCTCTTGTAAGTTTTGCGTTGGTGATTGCAAGTGGTTAACATATTTATGTAGATGTTGCGAAACCGAATGAGGTAATCAAAACAAACTGATGTTAAATGGATATGATGTAGAGTAATCGAATTGAGATAAATAGGCGCGCGCATGCAAACATATTGACATCGTGAGGCTGATTAGGTGCTGCTCCCATTGGGAATTGCGCGTTCTGAGATAAATGACTGTCACACAAATTCTTGGCTATGCGGACTAAACGTTCTTTGTTAATGGTTTTCAATGTTGTAGTCAATAAGTGGGATTCTCCTCTAATAAGTTTTTCGTCAGTTACTTCGAAGTTGCCTGGTCATCCCTAGGAGTTTTGGTTATTTCATTGGAAAAATAAAAAAAAATTACAATAAGGTTCTCAGTAGGGAGATCACATAGCAAGAACCTAGCGCAAATGCAAATTAACACTATATTAAATAGATTTTTCATTGTGAACAACGACAGACACTAAGCCTCAGAAAGCCAAAGAAAGATCAAAGATAACCTACGATTTTAGCTGGTAAGATTTCGAATATCATTGCGCTCATCCATAGTTGTATCTACACATATAATAAAATTGCAACAGGCCGATGTATTCACATTAAAGATCAAAGGAATTTCACATATCTGAAACGAAGGCCCCCGTTTGAAAATCCATTTGTATTGTGCCTAAATCAGCGATGGGCAAAGAGAGCTTTTACTCTGAACGCGCCTATACAAAATATATAGAAAGCTTAAAAGAGCTTTGCCCGCTGGCAAGGTAGTGCCCATCGCCAGCCGAAATCATAAAAAATATTTTCCTCTCCCGACGCCTTTCAGTTACAATTTCATTTTCTCTCTTGGAGCCAGCAGTATAGAAAGTATTTTCCGAGCTCCTGAGAGGAGCTTCTTATTATCTTCACTGTTTTCTAATAGGCGCGCTAATGACATAATTTCTTTAAAAAAAGGTATCCAAGGATCAGTTTTTCATTTGTGGCCTAGTTGAAGCATTACGTTCCTTCGACATGTACCCAAACTGGACTCAGAACTCAAGTCTTTTTACAAACTCTTCAAAGGGAGCACTGAAGTTTGTTTCTCGTTACCTTCGGTGTAGTCTCCATATCCTGTAATAAAACCATAAGCAAAGGACTATTTTGGGGTATGGAAAAACACTAAAGTTTAGACATCTGCCTAAAGCAATTATACTCTACTTTGAGGGACTTCCCGCGACATTGTGTGACTCCTAGTCTAAGCACGAAATTCTTCACTGCAATCCGGATCATCATTTCTATCTGCTGTGAGAGTGATAGAACAACATAAAAGTCTTTCTTAATCTTTTTACTTTCTGGCATGAGTAGTTTTTTTTTACTGCTGCGGTGTTAGCCTGACTAAGATATCAAAGTAGCATTATGTAGTAGCTTTATGAACTAAATGATGTTGGCAACAGCAAAATGAAATTACTTTTCGCATCAAGAGCAAAACACCTCATTGGGGTGCTCCTGCTTAACCTACCTGGCATGGCCGATCCGCACAACTCCGCCTCTTACGTCCGGTATTTGAAGAATTTACCAAGCTAGCTTCGTAAGGCAGAGAATAGGTCGATAGAACATAGTCGCTCCGAAAAGGTTACTGAAAATAGAGATTTCGATTATTTTGTGGGACAGAAATACTGTGAATTAACACTAATAGTGTGTTCACTCCCCATTTACTCGCCAACATAAATGCTTATAATAAGTACACCACAGTAAGTTAGTCAGTGCCAGGCTTGCAACCATTGAGAAAAGAAGAATAATTAAGACAATAAACGGCTGAGCCACTTGCTATCCCAAATGAAATTTAGAATATCCCAGAACTCCACCGTTTATATTACCAACAGACTAGTGAGGAGCATGAATCCACGATTTGGAGTCGACCTGGGCCTGCACTAGATACCGACATAGGGCATAGAAAAATCGTAAATATACAAGTAGGCACCAGTCTAATAAAAAGACAGTACCAGAGTTCACTCTTTAACACAAAACACTGTGTGCGTTTGAGCGAAAGCGGGAAAATGTGAAATATTCGATAGTTTTTTTTTACAACAAACAAATGTAACGTTACGCACTTTTAGTTTCGCACAAACGCACAGCTGAAACCCTGACTGAAATGCAAAGAGCGAGAAAAATGTGTTTTGCTGTACTGTTCGTACATCATTTCGGCAATTAAAGCGAAAGCACAAACGAAACGCGCTTAATAAATTCAAGGAACTGAATTACAAAATTTTAGTTTTTTTTTTAGTCTGAATTATGCCAGTGTTGAGTTGGCATCCCTGTCTAATAGTGTATTTTAATGTAGCCTTGTTGACAATTTTACGCAGCCCTGTTGACTTTCAGAGGATCTTCCGCCTTCTTTCTTCTCTAATTTTTAACCTAGATTAAAAGCCCTGAGGTTATTTTATCATCTCGTAAGTTATTCCTCCATTTACTGGACTGTATGGAGTAGAAGAGTAGTCTACTTCGTTTATTGACATCTCTGAGCCAAAACTTGACATTTAATTAGCTGCCCCGTTTCTGTGTTTCACTTAAAAAGTCACCACAAAGAACTTATTTTAGACCCCGTAAAAGAGAAGCCATGACCACTGCAACCAAATCATCTCTAGTACGTACATATATATGTTTGTGGGTATACATAAGTACAATATTTGCGTAAATATATATAAAACGAATGCCTAATTCTTTTAGTTGTGGTACCACCTTGGCCCAAAACTGTTGTCTGGTATAATAAAAATGGACGCATTGAGTCAAGTGAGCGCTATAAATTAATCGAAGATGGCTTGGGCGTTTATATGATCGAAGTCAAACCCTCCGAGAGTTGTGACGAAGGCGAATGGAAATGCGTAGTTACTAGCTATGAAGGTTGCGTCGGTATTTCAACGTGTAACGTCACTATGGACAGTGAGTAGATATTTGCTTAAACAAAATTTTGCAGCGTTAACTATTTAATCCTCTAATTTCTTTTCCTATAGTTCCCAAAAATTATCGCAAGCCACGTTTCATGGAAAGTCTACGCGCTGTGCTCACCGAGGAAGGACTCGTCTCATTCGAATGCAAAGTGGTTGGTTTTCCTACGCCCGTACTTAAGTGGTTCAAGGATGGTCAGGAACTAAAACCCGGCGATGTTTATCAATTAACTGGCACCAACTCGCTTGGCACATACTGTTGCATAGCCAAGAACTGCATGGGTGAGAGTAGCAGCGTTGCTGTGCTCACTGTAGAGGATATAAAAAATCAGCTTAACGACGAAGAGCGTCTCACATTTGCTAATCAGAATCAGCCACCTAAATTTGTGGTGGGCCTTAAAAGTCAAGAGGCCAAGATCAACGAATTTTTCCAATTTACTGTAAATGTCAATGCCACACCAGATCCAATGCTCTCCTGGTTTCGCGATGAGTTCCCGATCGAGAACAGTGAACGATACTCTCACTATCGTGGCGAGCAAGATCATTGGCATTTGGATATACGCGCTGTGGAATTCGTAGATCAGGCCGAGTGGAAGTGTGTGGCTGTGAATGACTTTGGCACAAGCGTTACTTCCAGTTATCTAAAGTTGCAGATACCACGGCACTACAAGAAACCACGTTTCCTGGAATGCCTGAGAGCGGTGTTGACGGAAGAGGGCGCGGTAAACTTGGAGTGCAAAGTTATTGGTGTGCCACAGCCCGTGCTGAAGTGGTACAAGGATGGTGTTGAGTTAAAGCCAGGTGACATACATAGAATCATCTCAGGACAGGATGGTACTTGCTGCCTGGGCACCTACACATGTGAGGCTAGAAATTGTATGGGCGTTGTCGCTAGCTCAGCTTCGCTACTCGGTTTCGAGGAGGCGTACAAAAATCAAAAGCACGAACAGGCACAAGAAAACGAATTGCAGCGCAATTTCTCCTTGTCCACCATACAGGAGGAGCGTACATCCCAGTTGTACGAGACACCTGTTGGCGATATAACGATTGACTCAAAGGGAGAGGTATCTTTCTCTTTCGATGGCAAAGAGGTTTCTGTATCCTTGTATGAGACACCCGATTTGACCGAAGAAGAAGCATTGAAGATCGTCGAAATGTACGCCGATCAGATTTCAGAGCATGTGACTGAGCACAATGTGGTGGAATTGCCGCCACTGCGTTTTGTTAAAGAGACCTCACAGTCGGGTAAACTGCTAATGGAAGCTGTGGTAATTGACATCTCGCCAGAGTACTTTTCACATGAGGAGGACATGCGTACCGAGGCAGGTTTGGATGATATTTCCATCAACGAGATAACAGTGCATGGCTCCTCGGGTCATGAGGGTGACACCGATCGCGAAGCTGAGAACTATGCGCAACGCAGCTTTGAGAAAATGGAGGAAGACTTGTCATTGACGGCACCGATACGCAAGCGTAAAAAATCACGACCGACCGAAACCACTGAGGAATTTTACAGCTTATCGAAAGCATCTGATAGCCAAGCGGGCGATGAGGAGGATACTTCCGATTTACAAACATTCGCTAGCGCTACGCAAATGTCATCGCGCATCGATTCTGCTGCCGGCCCTGATGCTGCACAGCCCGCAGAAGGTATGCAACCACCGAAGCGCAAGAAGGCCAAGGGCAAGACCACTGATAGTGATTCATCAAAGACAACCGAAGACGATACGAAAATGCAAGATATATCTGGTGCAGTAGGGGATGGTTTGATGTCTGTGAAGCCAGTAAAAGTGATCTCCAGCGCAACGGAGATTGAGCAGAATTTGAGGACACTGCTGCCACTAGCGAAATCGCTGAAGACTATTGAGCACCACCTGACTATCGTGGAAAATGAAGTGGTCGAGCAGGCAGCCATGATGATGACGTCAGGGTCTGCAGAACAGAGCATCGCCATCATACGCAATATCATCGACCCGGTGAAGCAGGTGGAGTGCAAGTTGCGCGCCTATTCCGGGGAGACACCACTCGACGCGCTCTTCCAAACGATGGAGGAGGATATACGAAAGCTGCACACCAGCCTACAGGTCATTGAGAAGTGTGTCGAAATAGATGAAACTGGCGTGACGCTTATACAACGCACCAGTGTCTGCATTATAGACAGTGTGGGCGATCAGCTGATAAAGGCATTGCAAGAGGTGCAGAACATTGCAAAGACTTTCGAGTCTACGAGTTTGCGTGCACATATAGATCTCACCGCAGACGATATTAGGCAAGGTCTCGAAATCACACAGGGCACTATAAAGTCACTGGCGCTGCTGCAAGAAGCGCAGGAGTTGGAGGCGGCCAAGCATCTCTCGGAAACGGTTGCCAAGCTACAGGCTAGACCAGAGGGAGAACCGGCGTCCTTTGCTAATATCTCGGATGCTAAATTGCCTGACGAAGCTGATGCACTGAAGCTCGTTTGTCAGCCGGTTGTGAATATACAAGCCGCCTTAGAGAAGGTGGAGAATGAATTGAGTCTCGAAGAAAACGAAGAACAGATCTACAAGAAGGTGCACAAGAAAGTGTTGGAAAATATTGTCGAACCAATTAAGGAACTGCAATCGGTGTTGGAGATAATCGAACGAAAGGCGGAGGCACTCGCTGGCATCGACTCCACAGTGCTAACAGTCAACATGCCTGCTTGAACATTGTCCGACGACTCATTCAATATTATTTCCATACCCTTGTTGAGTTCAAATAGAGCCGGTGTGACAATGTCCAAGCAGGCATGTTGACTGTTAGCACTGTGGAGTCGATGGTACCGCCATTGCAAGAGATACAGAACGGGCTGGCGCAGCTCACACAGGACGTGGAAAGTGGACACTTTACGGAAGAGGCCGTGCTCGACTCGGCGGATACGCAAAAGTTGCTGCAATCTATAGCGCAGTCTGTGCTTCACTTCGAGACGAATATCGAGCGCATATCAGCGCGTTTATCACCCAATGTGCAATCGGGCTTGTTCAATATCAAGGAGGAAATGTCTGCCTTAATTGGAAATGTGTTGAATGAGAACATCACCAAGTATCATGTGACGCTGTTGGAGAACTTGAAACGGCCTATCGATGAGCTCAACTATTGCATACGACAAATTGAAGGCAAATCTATATCGGGCTCTTTAACTGACTTTATCGATCCCTTGCACAGTCTCAGCGATCGCGTGCATTTGGGTCAGGAGATCATGCACATGTCTGGTGCGAAGCAAAACGAAAAAAATCTTGAGGTCCTCGATAGAATGGAACAACTAATTAGGCGCGTTGAGATCGATATTGAAGAACATGAATTCAAGGTGCTGCAACGCGAAGTCGAACTTGATGAGAAGCGTGCAAACGAAGAGGAGAAATCTTTCCTTTACATGCGGCAAGCAATGGAAATGAAGATAGCTCAAGATGAGGCTGGACAAAATATACAAGAACTACTGCACACAGTTACAGAGATAGAGGCCACACCTGACTTGGATGCTCAAACCCAAAAAGTGTTATCAGTGCTAGACCAAAGTCTTACCGGCCTTGTCGCCGATGTAGAAAAACTGAAGGAGTCACCGAGCACGAGGGAAGAAAACGAAGCTGCTACAAAAGTGCTAACCGACATTGCCAAGCCACTGCAGGCAGCTGCTGAGGTTTTACGCAGGGCGCTAACGCCAGCAAAAGAACTGAAGGTAGAGCAGCTCCCACAAAGCGTGAGTCTGCAAGCAGTTTTGCAAGAGTTGAATGAGGTCGTGGAAAATATACCCGAGCAAAATGAGCAGAACGTAAAATTGAAGGCGTTGCCCATCGTACAATCGGTGCTAAAAATAGTGCCCGCGCTACAAACAATCACAGATTTACCACAAGCGTCAACAGCGGTAACGCACGCTGAGAAAAAGAAGGCAGCGGCAGATGTTGATAGTGGAGCTGCAAAGAAGCCGAAAATGGCAGCTGAAGTCAGCGATGAGGTAGAAACAGCACCAACAGCCGACGCGCCTACTACGGTTAAGGTTGAAGAAAATGTCGAGACCCCATTAGCTGCGGAAGCTCAACATACTGCAGAACTCCGACAAGTAGCGAGCTCTACTGACGCTAGCAGGCCAGCGACGAAAGCCGCGGATGACGCTTCCACACTGGAGGACATATCCGCCATGAAATCAGCAGCTGAGTCATTACCAGCAGATAGTTTGGCCTCTGGAGCAGAAGATAAAACGGATCATCTCAAAGCTTTCGAAGCTAACAAGAACAAAGTGAACGCGCTGCTGTCGCAACTGAAGAATAGCATCGCAACAGTATTGGCGCATTGCGACGAAGTAGATGTAGGCTCGCTGCAAGTGGAAACTGCGCAACAAGTGAAGGCAAGTCTCTCGAAGCTGGCAGGCGTCACTGAATGCATTGCTGATGTCCATCAACCAATCGTTGTGGAGACACTGGGTTCACTCTCCGACGCCAGCGAGTGTAGAACGTTCGCTGAAGCTGTGTGCCATTTGGAAGCTTGTGTGGTGCAAGTTGAGGAGTGCATGGCACAAGCCGATTTAAAGGAGCTGAGTGGTGGCGACTCCATTTCCGAATTGAAAACATTAGCTCTACCCTTACAAGACCTTAAGGAGTGCATTAAAGTCTTTCACAATGAAGAATTGGAGCAGGTTATGAGTTTGGCAACAGCAAGCTTACCGCTAACTAGCGCACAAGTTTTACAAGACATACAGCCCTTTGTGCTCTCAATTAAGGAGAGTCAAGCAATCGAAACTTTGCAGTCCTTAGCGGCGGATGAGTCTCTAGCGCAGCTCAAACAATTTATAAAACCCATACAAGAGCTGCAAACTGCCGTGCTGTCTACCGCTGAGCAGGTGCATTTGTCGCAAATTGAAAGTTTGCCCCAGCAGGCGAGCATTGCGGTGTTGGAAAAGTGTGCCAAGCCTATACAGGACATCAGGGAAGCGCTACTGCAAGTGCAAGAAGAAACGCCACTGGCCACCCTAGAAGCTACTCCGGCATTGCAAGTTTTGAAGGAAAAAAGTGAAGTTGTATACAATCTCCTGCAATACTGTGAAAAAGTGGACCTGCATGTATTGGAGAATCTTGCCGATATGTCTACACAAGCTGATGTCTCTGCACTCAAATCTTGCGCCGAGCTCAAGTCTTTGGAGACACAACTAGAACCTGCCGTTAGCGCGAAACAAGCAACAGTGAAGTACTTGGACGTCAAGGAATGCATTGCGGATGGCATCAAACAAATACAAGTCTGCTTGACATCAGCCGAAAAAAACGGTGGTGCCCGAGTTGCACGATGTTGGAGAGGTCATGAAAGAGCTTAAACGTGAATTAGAGCACATGCAAAGTGAGTTGTCTGAACCAACAGCGCAGCAAAATGCGGCCAAAGCCAATCGTAGCGTAGCTAAAACGATGTTTAAATTGAAAGAGTGTCTGGTGCACACCTACGAGGCTGGCGTTGAAAAGTCGCTGGATGAAATCGAGAAAACTTTCGAAGACATACTAACAGCGCTGCCGACTTTAGAAATACAGCTGGCACAAGAGATGTACGCAAAAATCGAGGCATCGCTACACGCATTTAACACCACTTGCGCACAACCAGAGGCGCCTGAGCTGGAAAAACTGATAGAACCCATTGGAGACATTTTGAGCAGCACCAAAGCAATTAATGAGTTGAAGAGCATAGATGTTGAAAAGTCTTCATTGGTGGTGGCGCAATTACAATCGCATTTAATGGCCGCATTTAGAGCGCTCAACGAAGTTAGTGAATCGCTTAGTGGAGCTGGGCGTGAAGCTGTTTTGAAAGCGCAAGATGCTGTGCTAGCAACAAACGAATTCATTGCGGAAGCCAGCGAGCAAATTAGAACTATTGAGCTGCTACAGGAGGTAGATAGCTTGACGCCCAGTTTGGCTGCTATTCCCGGAAGTTTTACGTCCGCAAGCGAGCAGGAACGCAAGCAAGCACTACTCGAAACGCTTATGCAGCGTGTTACGCAAGGGAAAGCATTTTTACAAAGCATTGAAGATGGCTTAAACGCAAACAATCCGGTATTCTATAGGCTAGCAGAGCAAAACGAGCTGGACATAAGTAGCGTAGAAGCAGCACTCATACGCATCGAAAAGGAAATCATACCAAAACTGGAAACGCAGGTGCCAGCGGCTGATGACAGCGCGCTAGTCGATGTGCTGGGAGTGCATTTGAAATCTTTGCAGGACAGTCTCGCCAAACTCAATACTGCAGCGATTGTGGTGGAAAAAGTACGCGTGGATGTAGAAACAAGGTCGATTGAGCAGCAAGAGCCGGAGCCGGGGCTCGTTGCGCAAAAATCCCTAACCTCAACCACACCCCAGCAGACTTCAGCGAAGAAGGAGTCATCACAGTTACGCGAAACTTCGCTACCCGCTGAGGAAGACATATCTACGCTAGAGGAAATTTCAGCTATCGAGTCTTACTTGGGCTCACCACCACCTATTTCCCGCGCCGAAGAAGTGCCGCCTACACCGCCAGCTGACAAAGGTAAGGTCGATGTGTTGTTGTCACAACTCAAAAGTAGCATCGTCTCAGTGTTGGCACATGGTCACGAAGTAGATGTCGCCTCTCTGCAGCTGGAGACTGCACAACAGATTAAGGCAAGTTTAACAAAATTACAGCACGTAAATGAATGTTTTGCCGATGTCCGTCAACCCACTGTCATTGAGCCACCACTCCCATCCCTCTCCGATGCTAGTGAATGCAAAACATTTGCTGATGCTGTGTGTAATTTGGAAGCATGCGTAGTGCAAGTTGAAGAATGTTTGGCCCAAAGTGAGTTGCAAGATCTGAGTGCGCAAGCGATTTCCGAACTGAAAACTTTGGCACAACCACTGCATGAAGTTAAGGAATGCGTAAGAGTTTTCCACAATGAAGAATTGGAGCATGTGCTTAGTTTGCCAACAATAAGCATGCAACTAACCAGTGCTCAAGTTTTGCAGGACATTCAACCGTTTGTGCTGTCGATCAAGGAGAATCACGCATTGGAGACGCTGCAGTCGCTGGCGGAGAACGCATCACTCGCGCAGCTCAAGCAATTCATACAACCCATACAAGAACTGGAAAGCGCCATACTATCCAACGTTGAGCAGGTGCACTTGTCACAAGCTGAAAATATTTCTAGGCAGGAGAGCACCGCTATATTGGAAAAGTGCGCTAAACCTATCTGGGATATCAGAGAAGCTTTGCTGCAAGTACAAGAAGAAACACCACTCTCCACGCTAGAAGATTGTCCCGCACTGAAGGTGGTGAAGGAGCAGACCGATGTCATATACCACCTGCTGCAATACTGCGAGCAAGTCGACATGAATGCTTTGGAAAACATTGTCGAGATGTCAACACAAGCCGATGTTTCGGCGCTGAAGTCCTGCGTGGAGCTGAAATCCGTACACACGCAACTTGAGCCACCAGCCACAGGTGTGGTTGAAAGCGTTAAGCTGCAGGATGTGCGAGAAAGTATTACGAATGGCATTAATCAGCTACAAACGTGCTTGGAAAAGAGCACAGCAAACAATGTCCCAGAACTGTGTGAAGTTGAGGTTGCTATGCAGGAGTTGCAGCACGAGCTACAAAGTATGCAAAACGAGCTTACGAAACCCGCCGCAGAACAACAAGCTGCCGAGTCGCAAACACGGGTGGCCAAAGTAATGTTTAAATTGAAAGAATGCATCGTTCACACTTACGAAGCGGGCGTGGAAGAATCACTAGACGATATTGAAAGAACCTTTGCCGACATCCTACAGGCCATGCCAACGCTAGAGCTGCAATTAGCGCAGGAGATGTGTGGCAAATTAGAATCGGCTGCATCAGAGTTTGTCACTAGTTGCACACAGTCAGACGATTTGGCAGACTTCCGTAAGTTAACACAGCCGCTCGAGCTGGTCTTAGCTAGCACTAAAGCCATCGGTGAGCTCAAGTTGGTCGAGGTGCAGAAGTCCTCATTGGCTGTGGCTAATCTACAGTCGCATTTAATGGCCGTCTTTAGAGCACTTGATGAGATTGGTGAGTCAGCAGCGGCGAATGAACGAACAAATTTTTCACAGTTACAAAATGCCGTCCTATCCATTTCCGAGTTTATTGACACCAGCGAAAACACGTTGCGCGCTATTGAACTGATACAAGAGTTGGATACGCTCATGACACAACTAAGCTTCGTGGCCAATGAAGTACGACTTGCTAAGGCAAACGAAAGCAAGCGGGCGTATTTGGAAGCAATAAATTCGGGCGTAGCCTCAGCGAAGGCCTTCTTACTCAGCATCGATGAGGGGTTGAAGATAAATAATTCTGTCTTCGTGAAGTTAGCTGCAGAAAACGAGGTAGACATTGAAAGCGTACAAGCCGCATTGATACGCCTGGAAAATGAGATACTGGAAAAGGTACGAACTGCAAGCTCCACAACAGAGGAAGAGGAAGCCGTAGTCGATGCGCTGCGTGTGCATTTGAAAAATTTGCAAGACAAGTTGTTGGCGCTAAACAATGCTGCAGCAAAGGTGAAGCCTAAGGTGGCCGAGCCGGAAGTTGTAGAAGCGAAGATCAATCAGAAGAGCGCTGCTGTTTCAGAAGTTGATGATGGTGCAAAGGAGAGCGAAGCTGTAACAGAAATAAGAGAACAGCCTGCGGATAAGAAGGAGGGCTTAGAGCAGGCTGAGCCAGAAAAAGTGACAGCAATTGAGGTAGTCCAGCCGATAGTTAAGAAGGAAGCTGGGCCAATCGAAGCTGAAGCAATAGCGCCGCAGGCTGTGACTCATGAACAGGCAACGCCAGAAGAAAAGCTTGAGGTGACGGCTGACGAAACAAAGCCACAAGCAGCCATCTCTGCGAAAGACAAGGATACGCAAGAGGCTCCAGTAGCCGTGGTGGAACCGAAAGAGCCGCAAGCACCCACACTGCCAACCGAGCCATATCTCCAAAGAGCAGAAGAATTGATAAATAACACACTCGCACTCACACAGGCGCTGAGTAACGAAAAATTGACCAAAGCCACATCGGAAGTCTACAAATCGGTTGAAATCAATTTGAAAGAGATTAAAAATTTGCTACAAACACAACCTTCCAACACAATCGAAGATCATATTTTCTTGCCGCTATTCAAGTTGAAGGATTTGATTGCTTTCATCAAGAGAACGCCAATGGATGATGTTTCGAAGGCCGAGGAGGCTCAACAGGTTATACAGAATACCAACGGCGTGCTGCTACAAATCTTGAATGGTCATCGGGGTCTACGAAACGCAATGATTTTCGATATTACCGAAGCCACGCTACCATATATAGGCAGCATAACGTCATTCATAACACAAGTATTTCCGAACGATAGAAATCTGTGTGCGATATCGCGAGCGCTGCAACGAATTTCCACGGAGATGAATGCGCTTAAGAAGGAAAATACATCAAATATGGATAGAGGGTCACGTGCTTATCAAAATCTACAATCAGCTTTGTACGAGTTGAAGAACTCATTGGATACGCTGTGTGCTGAACAGAAAATCGAAATCCTTCTACTACAAAAAGAAAGCTTAGAACGTATTTGCAAAGCTATGGATGAAGGTCAGTTGAGAGATGTTATAGAGCTTATACAGGAGTTTGAGGTGCAGAAGGATTTCTTTGTGCAAATGTTGGAAGCATTGAAGATTATGTCCCAACAACAAGCCGCTGCTGCACGCCAAGAGGACAGCAAAGCTGAAAAGCTCGAGCAAGCTGCCGCCGACGAAGCGCTGAAGCAGCACATCGAAAATGTCTTGAACGTAATTGCTGGCGATGAGCGCTTAAAAGACATCGGCAGTGAGCTTAGTGAGTTGCTCAATGATGATGAAAGGTTCGCAAAACTTGTGTTCAAGTTAAGAGAACACATTGTGCACACTTACGACGGTGGTCCACGCGCAGCAGACGAAAGCGCTGAAAAATTGGAAGATATTATTGAGAACTTACTCGCTAGCAATCCAGAAGCTGCTCGAAAATTGACGGAAGAATACTATGAGTATATCGAAAATAATGTGAAGCAAATATCGGAGAGAATTAAGATCATAGAAAACGCCGAGCTGCGTACAAAGGTGAGCGCCTTAAACCCCCGGCTGAAAGCATTGGCTGCGGTTGTTAAAGACGTAAAAGAACTAAAAATAGCAAAAAAGTTGGCAGACAGGCAGGAGAATCTGAAAAAAGAGCTCTTAAATACTGTCGAGTTTTTGGATGACTTGGCTAAGCCATTGGCTGCAGATTTGCAAGCCAATATTGAAAAACTTAAAAAGCTCGCGCTGAGAGAATACGATTATATAAATAATAGTGAAAAAGCAGCACAAGCACCGAAGATTCTCTTGGATACATATTTCTTAACGAGTGCCTTGAACAACTTGTGCGCTAAATTGCAAAGAGCAGCGTTGGTGACTGCAGAGGCAAAGGAAAGCGAGGTTGTGGTTTTGGAAACTGAAGATGCCCAGCTAAAAGTGGAAGTGAAACCCAAAGTTGAAGTCGTTGAAGAAAAAGAGCAGCTCCAGCAAGACGCGGTTACAGGCAGAGATGTGTCAGTTGAGCCGCAGGTAACTACCGCTGCTACAGAAATCGCCGAGGTGCCAGCATTCGATGAAAAAGAAGTCAGTATGGAAGTTGAAGACGTTCAACGAGCAATAGCCATAGAAGAGCCGAAAACCAAAACAGTTGATGAAAGTAAAAGTGAGGAAAAATTAGTTGCTGAAGCTGACAAAGCACCTACAACTACTGAAGAGCCTCTTAACCCGAATTTATTGAAACATTTTACGGACATAGTCGAGGTAACTGCTAAAATACGAAACGAAGTCGGGACTACAAAAAATTCAATCTTGCGGGCAAAATTATTACAATTCGATGCACCGCTAGCAACCATAGGAACAATTTCGGAAACTGTAAAACTATCAAACAATATAGACAAGTCTTCAGAGAAAATAGCTACTTTACAAAAAGTACTAATGAACCTCTTTGTAACCTTGGACGACCTACAACAACAGTCGACGGGAGAGCTAACAAAGCACATCGAAGATGTTAAAAAGCTGGCATTGAGTGGATTCGAAACTGTAGAAAAGAGCGCGGCAAGCGCAGACTCAGAGAAAATACTCCTCAGTATTTGTGATTTAACGAAGGGAGTCTTAGAGGTTTGCAAGGAATTGCTAAAGATTGAGGAAGAACAACTTGAGACGACTGAGACGACAGATACACAGACAATATTTGAAGAGCAGGTTCAGGAGACGAAAACTGAACAAGTTGCTGCAGTTAAAGAGGTACAAGAGCAGGTGTTAGCGGAAACACGGCCTCAACTTGAAGACGAGGGTAAAAAAGAAGATCAACCAGCTGAAAAAGTGGCAGATGAGAGAGTTGAAGAGCAGGCTGGCAAAGCTCAACAAGAGACGCCGACTACGGGAAATAATGAGACAAAAGATAAAGAAAAAGCAGCACCAGAGTCACAAAATATAGAAGAGGAAGTCTCAGTGGAAACGAAACCACAAATCGGAGAACAAAAGAAGACAGAAGAGCTGCCAGAGGAAAAAATAAAAGAGCAGAAAGCTGAAGCACAAGTGCTAAGCACTGATGAAACAAAAGCAGATGTAAAAGAAGAAAAGCCGAAGACGGAAGAACCGGCAACTTCAGAGCAAAAACAAGAAGAACTGCAGCCTCAAATAGAAGAACAAATACCCCGGCCTCAGATTGAAGAGCAAATAGTTGAAGATATCGTTGCGAAGGAGGCTACTACCGAGTCGCCAAAACAGGCAGATAACCCAGCAGAGGTAACGATAGAAAAACAATTGATGCCAGAAACCCTGAAAAGTGAAGAGATACCTTCACAAGAACCGGTATCTGTTGCCGAGGAACAAAAGAGAGAGAAAAAAGAAGCGCAACGAGAAGTCGCTGCATCCACAGATAAACAAGCACTTGAAGAGGTGACGAGAGTAGTTGAAAAAGAGAAAACAAATCAAGAACAAGTTGTTGCCAAAGAACAGTTGTCGGAAGAAAAAGCGCAGAGTGAAAGTGAAGAGCAGAAGGAGGCGCAAAATGAACAGCAGGAAGAAAAGAAAATATTATCCCAAGTTGAGGCTGAAGAGCAAGCTATTTTAGAAACGAAGACAGAAAAGGTGGAATCACAAGTCGAAGCGAAAAAGTTAGAAGAGGCAGTTGAAAAAGAAAAGACTGTGGAGCAAGTTTCACCACAATCCAAAGCCATTGAAACAAAGGAACAACCTGAAGAACAAGTCCCTCCTGAAACGCAGCCTGTTACTGAAATTCAAGAGAGCAGAGAAGTAAAACCGGAAGTCGAGAAAGCAGAGAAGCAAATAGAAAAACCAAAGAATCCACTGGAAGTACCCGAAGAACATGTCGCTCTGGAAACAAAGGCCTCGCCAACAGTTGAAGTTGCCACCTCCAGAGAAGACAAACCCGAAACGACGGCAATAAAAAACAGCAGTGAAGAACCAATTCCGCTGGGTGAAAAGACAATAAAAGCAGTCACAGAAGAGACCAAGACCGAAGTGAAAGAGGAAGCTAAAAAGGTCCAAGAACAGCTTCTGGAAGACATTCTAGAGCCACAGGAGGCAAACGATGAAAATCGCAAACCAGAAATAGAAGACCAAGTTGCTTCAGTGGCGCTGATTGTAGATGTTAAAAAGCCCGAATTACAGCTTAGCGAAGAAAACAAAGAAGCTGAAGAGACTGAGCAAGTCAAACCCGCTGTTACAGAGAAAGTTGGAGAGCAAGGTGTTGCCGGACAACTGAAACCAGAACTGAAGAAAGAGAAACTTGAGGGTGAGATTGACACAGAAAAACAAAAGGCTGAAGAACGCGATGAACTGCGCAAGGCTAAGGAAGAATTAACTCCAAAAGAAAACCCGCACGAGCAAAAAGTCGAAAAATCGACCACAGACAAAAAGGAGATTACAGACCTTCAACCGTCACAGGAATTAAGTACTAAATTAGAGCAATACTTCGCAAGTATCTCGCAGACTGCTGTAAAAGCAACAGCGAAAATTCCAGAAATAAAACCGCAGAGAATTCACGAAAAGTTGGTTGCGCTTCCACCTTTGCTAGAAGAAATTATCCAGGTCTCTGAAAATGTAAAGAATCTACAACGAGTTGAAAAAGCCGCACAGCGAATGGTTACCCTACAGAAAGCATTAATGGATACCTTTGTTATATTTGACGATCTTCACGAAATAGCAACAACTGAAGTGAAGACGCAGCTGGAGAAAGTTAAAGAACTCGCTTTGCATCTGTACGACAACATTGAGAAGTCCGAAAAGTATGTGGAGTCAGAGGGAGTATTGTTAGACTTAGTCCAACTAACGGGTAGTGTTCTGGAAGTGTGCAGCGTACTTCAGAAAGAAGTGTCACACGAAAAGGTTATTGAAGCGAAGCCCATCGAAAAGAAACTTGGAGAGGAAGAAAGGCCAACAGAACAGAAAGTTGAAGAGAAACAAGAGCCAGAGGAGAAAGTTATTGAAAAGACACCTGAAGAAAAACAAATAACCGAGAAAGATACTCTAGCAAAGGTGCCTGAAGAAAAAGTAGTTGCGCAGAAACCAGAAGAGGAGTCTATAAAACAGCAGCACGAGGAACCGAAAGTTCCAACACAAGAAGCTGTTGAGAAACTCGTGGAAACAACCGAAGCAGATAAGCTAATTGAATCACCAACTGAACAGAAGAAGTCACAGGATACTGAGAAAGATAAAGTGTTAGAAGACACAAAGCTTAAAGAGAAGGCAGGCAAGCAAAAATCGGTGGAGGAAAAACTTTCTGAAAAGTCAACTGAGAAGAAACCTGTTGAACAGAAAGTAGAAGAAAAGTCAATAAGACAGACGGATGAAGAAATGAAAAAACCAGACGCGAAAGTACCAGAAACAGAAAAGGCCAATGAAACACCAATCGAGTTAAGAGAAGCAGAGATGTCCAAAGAAACGGCTGCAAATCAAAAGTCGGCAGAGGATAAGCCGCATGAAAAAATGCCTGAAGAGGAAACCGTTGAGAAAAAGTCAGAAGAAAAGTCTAAAGAACAAGAGGAGAAAGTGAAGGGAAAGCCTAAAGAAAAATTGCAAGAAACACTGACCGAGCAGAAACAACCTAATGAGATTGAGATAGAGCAGGCTATAGAACAAGAGAAATCGAAAGAAAAACCTGCTAAACAAAAATCGGTGGAGGATAAAGTTCCAGAAAAGGTACCAGCGGAAAAGCCTGTAGAAAAGAACACTGCAGAGAAAGAATCCGAGGCGCAGTCAAAAGCACAGAGTATTGATGAAAACAAGAAACTAAAAGATAAAGTAACCGAAGAGAAACCTGAAGAAAAGCAAGCTGTCGGCCAAGATACTTTGGACGCGAAAAAGCTAGAAGCAGAAAAAGTAAACGAAATAGTATTCGAACCCAAGGAAGAAAAGGTCATCGAACCAAAGCCGGTGGAGGTAAAACCACAAGAGGAGCTAGGAGAAAAACCTGTTGAGAAAAAGATACAAGAAAAGAGTACGGAGAAAAAGGATGAAGCGAAAGAGAATTTGAAAGAGAAAGTGGATGAAGCTGCGGTTGAAGAGAAGAGGCAGGTATATTTGGAAGCGCAAAAGTCAGAGTTAGATAAAGAAACAGAGGTTGAACAAAAGAAATTAGAGGATGAAGGGCATAAAGAGAAACCTGTTGAGAAAAAAGTACAAGAAAAGACAGCCGAGGAGAAGGATGAAGAAAAGAACAAAAAAGAAAAGTTACCCGCACCGAAGGCTCAAGAAGTGCCAGTCGATGAGACCAAGAAAGAAAGTGAGCAGAAAAAAGCACAAGAAGAAAAATCGAAGAAGGAAGAAAAAACAGGCGATCAAAAAATCGGAGTGGCCAAGCCAACTGAACAAGATGCAGCGAAAACAAAGCCTGTTGAAGTAGAAAAAATTGAAGACGCAATCGTAAAAGATGATGAAAAGAATCCTAAATTGGAAGAATTTTACAAGAAAATTACTGAGACTCAGAATATTCTGCAAAAAGAAATCGAAGCGGCTAAAGATATTTTATTGAGCCAGAAATTAACTGCTCTCCAACCACAAATTGAGAAGCTTGTTGTAATTACGCAGACTATTAAGAATAACGATTGTGTAGAAAAGGCTTCAAAGGATATTGTGCGTCTTCAAAGGGTGCTGATGGATATCTTCATTACATTTGATGATCTGCATGATGTAAAATTCCATATCTTGAAATTGAAAATCGAAGAGATAAAAACGAGTGCTCTTGCAGAATATGATTACATTGAAAGGGGAAAGAGACAAATAAATTCTGAAGAGTTATTGGAAAGAATGTCCATTTTACTGAAAAAAGTCTTGGACACATGCGTAGAACTTCGAAAAGTATCCGAAAACGTACCGGTCGAAAGCGCCGAACCGGATTCCGACAAAGATAACACTGCCAAAGCAGCGACTGCAGAAAAAGTGGAAACGGTTGAGAAGAAAGCCAAGGTTGAACCCACCGAAGAGCCGTTGAATCAAAGTTTGCCACTATATTATAACCAAATAGTTGAATCTGTGTCTAAAACGTCCGTCAAGCTTTCCGAAATGGACGATAATGAATTCCGCGTGAAGTTGATGCCATTGCACTCGACGCTTCAAGGCGTTCTTTCAAGCGCTGAACATCTGAAAGGCGTGAACAAGATCGAGAAGTCTAAAGAGAAGGTGGTAACATTGCAGAAGAGTCTCATGGACATCTACGTTCTCTATGATGATCTTCAGGCTATAAATGCCCAGGAATTGAAAGGAGATTTAGAGCAAGTGAAGACTTTAGCGCTGAAACATTACGATCTCATTGATAAGAGTGTTAGAGAAGTTAATTCGCAAGAGATCTTAGTGGAGTTAGTAAACCTTTGTCAAGAGATTCATAGAGTTTCTGAAAATATATGTCAATATGTGAAGAGATCTAAGGAAGAAGAAACACTTAAGAAGGCCAAGGAGTCTGCCGAAGCAGCGGATGCCGAAAAGAAGTTGGATAAGAAAAAGGAGAAAGTGGAAGATGAAAAGAAAGCAGACGATTCGGCCGAAAAGTCAGATAAGAAAGTGGCGCAAGAGAAGGTAATTGAAGAAGCAAAGAAGGTCGAAGAGAAGCCTAAGAGCAAGGATAAGAAAAATACTACCGAAAAAGAAATTAGAAAGGAAGAGACGCTTAAAGAGGCTGTAGATGCTAAGAAGCAATCCGACCTAACTGAAAAGACGACTGAAGCACCCGAAAAGGCTGAACAACAGACTGCAATAGACATTATCCAGAAGAAAGTTGAAGAGGAAAATAAATTGGAGAAAGTAGGTGATGAACCTGCCACTAAAGTTGATAAGGAAGAAGAAAAACCGAAGAAAGTCGAAAGAAAGAAGAGTCCAAGAGAAGTACGTGCTGAAAAGAAAGAAGAACTTACGCGGATTGAAAAGGAAGTAATAGAGGCTATTGTACCGACAATGCAGGAGTCAACTGACAAACCTCGACTGACTGAAGAGAAAGTAAAAGTGGAAAATCAAAAAATTAGTGCTGAAGAGGACGAGAAAAAGAAGAAAGTGGAGGAGGCATCAGTCGAAACGATGCCAAAGAAGGAAGCTGAAGAGGCCAAGATCAGGGAAGCTGCAGTAAAGGTAGAGGAACATAAGAAAGATGAGAGTAAAAAGAGCACGGAAGAAGTTAAGGCAGCTGATAAGAAACAGCCGGGAGAGGTCAGTGAACCGGAGGTAACAGAAACCCTGCCTAAGAAATCTGCTGAGAAACCTGATGATAAACCCGCTGAGAAACTTACCGAAGAACTTAATGAGGCTGATGAAAAACCAAAGAAGACAGCGAGAAAGAAGAGCGAAGAAGAGATAAAGAAAATACAAGAGAAACCAACTAGTCCAAAGCAAGTTGGTGAGAAGAAAGATTTAGAAACACTCGAGGAAGTTGAAAAGCCTAAAAAAGATATCGAGCTGCCCGAAGAAAAGCCGAAAATAGACGTAAAAGAGAAAAGAGTTGAGGCAGAAAAGAAGGCAGATGAGAAAAAACCTGAAGAATCTAAAAATAATAAAAATAAGTTGGAGCCTACTGCTACTGAAGAATCTGAGAAAGCTGTTGATAAGCCGAAAGACGTCAAAGTGGAGAAAGGGGCTGAAGAAGACAAGACGGCCGAGCAGGAGAAATCTGAAAAGCTTGAGGTTTTCGAAAAGAAAGCTGAGATCGTTGAAAAACTTGCTGAAAAGCCTGCGGAAGAAGCTGATAAGGCTCAAGAAAAGCCCATAAAGGAAAAGAGGAAGATGAGTGCTGAGGAAGTGAAAAAAGGCGAGGAAGAGAAGCCTGCAACTCTTGAAGCTGTCAAAAAGAAGCCTGAAACCGTTGAAAAATCTGAAGAAAAACTTGCTAAAAAACCTGGTGAAGAAGCTGATAAGACTCTAGAAAAGCACAAAAAGGAAGA